GTGGGTGCTGGCGGGAGCTTGGCTGTGTGGGACCCATCTGCAGTTACAAAGTGCTTTGGGCACTTCTTGTGGATATTGGCGATCTTTGGTGACTGCTTTCATCTTTGTGCTGCAGTCATCTGTGAAGGGCAGCAGTGAACATGAGGGTTGATTTACTCTGGTGTCAGGAGTGGAGAAACTGCTGAAACACAATGCTGGCTGTTAGAATGTCCTTGTACTTGTGTCTGGAGTCTTTGGGCTGCAAGGCTGGATACTGGGGAAAGGTATGCTTGCAGAGAGCTACAGGGGAAGTAAAAGTTTGCACCTCAAATACAATCTCTGCCCTTGGAAATATCCAATTTTGAGTTGTTGAGACTGGAAATGGCATTATAAGATGGCATAACTGCAGCCTGCCTTGTTCTTACCTTAATTCATAGGTATTTATTGTTGCCTTCTGCTTTTTGTGGATCTCAGAGATCATTGGATTCAGAGGATCTCGGAGTTGACCTTGTTTGGTAGTTGCTGTGGTCCCATTTTGGTGGCAGCCGGAAGGGGAGTGATGTAGTTACGTTGGCTTGAAGCTGCAGGTCTGTTAAGTTTGAATTTTCAAAAACTGTACGTATTTGCTGGGTAGAGTCCATGTGTTAGACTGCAGACCTGTCAGTCTTTCCCATTTGGGAGTGGTTTGGAGTTAGTGAAGTGGATTTTGGCCTTGGATCAGGAATAAAAGCTGCCTGTCTGCTTAACCTGTGGCTGCTGCGGAGCGTTGGGTCGAAATGGGACCTGCTGCCTCTCTGTCCCTTCAGGGGAGAATATCAACATCTGTTGGAGCCCTGACGGACAGACCATCGCAGTGGGGAACAAAGATGATGTGGTCACTTTCATTGATGCCAAGACACATCGCTCCAAAGCTGAGGAACAGTTCAAGTTTGAGGTGAACGAGATCTCCTGGAACAACGATAACAACATGTTCTTCCTCACTAATGGGAACGGCTGCATCAACATCCTCAGGTGGGTGCCCGTGGCA